TAGAAAAATATTGGGAGAGGAAAGAAAAGGATCTAAGTGGGTACATTGAAGGGAGGACATAAAAAAAATCTCAGGACTGGATTTCAGTTCTCTAAACTTCAAGCTAGAGGTGGGATACAGAAAACCAGAAAAAGGGATCATGGAGTGAAATACAATACACCCCCCCCCCCAAAAAAAAAAACCTGTGGATATTACTGAGTCCTACTGAAACAAATCAGAATGATTTTTTAAAATCTGCATAGTGATGACATTTTAAAAGAGTCTGAGAGAACAGAGGGATAACTCTTCTAATAAAATTTCCATTGTTGTGTGCACATTATTTGAAATCAAATGAAACCATTTAAAATATTATTGATATATGTATATTTATGCTGGTTATACATTCATTAGTTGATCAACATTTACTGATTATCCCACTAGGATTGCCTAAATATTGATCAGATGTCAATCCTTTTTAGGAAAGAGAGAAAAAAAGAGAGGAATGAAGGAAGGGTTGAACAATGGATGGAAAAGTTTATAAAATATTTGTCTAAAGGTCCATCACCATTCATTTCCATGCTAAGGAATTCTGTGAAATGGTTGCTACTATTACTATCTATGATTCCATGATTCTATATCAATTATTATAGCAGTTTTATGTTTTCTCATTCTATTACTTTCTATCTCCCCCTCTGTGTTTTTTGGAAGGATATGTTCAACCACAGATACATCTCGGTTTTCTAAATATCACTGCCAACAGTGTTCTCTTCTCTTCCGATTCCCTTTTGTAAAGCTCTTTTGTAAGAAGATCAAATATATAGACAGAAAAGTAGAAGTATGCCAAGACCTCCTTGGCAGATATGACAAGCAGACTTGCTTTGCAATGTAACGCTACATATTTTAACTTGTCACTTACCCTGCCATCCAAGGTTTCTCCATTTTTCATGCAGTAATGAAATCCAAAGCAGTGTGCATACCTTCTTGATGATCAGGAACTCACTTCTGTTAATCCATTCAGAAATCTGATGATGATATTCACCTTTTCATTGCAGTCCAGGAAGTAGTCAACTTTATCTGCAATGCACAGTGACTGTGTGCACTTGTAAGGTTGCACAAGATGTTAGCACAATACTCATGAATATGTTTTACTTCACCCTGAATAGACATTTCAAGGTTGTTGTAGGTTTTTCAGATTATATGGCCATGTTCTAGAAGCATTCTCTCCTGACGTTTCGCCTGTATCTATGGCAGGCATTCTCAGAGGTTTTTCAAGCTTCAGTGGAGTACATTTAGGGTTGCAAATCAGTAAAAAATTAATTACACGTGAATAGGAAAAACCAATTTATTATGTTTTATCCACATGTAAGATCTCATCAGATGCATTGCAGAAAGTGTGTGTAGGGGTCATCTTCTTAGCAAAGCTCATCATCTCCTTCTCTTTTAAAAGACATTGCTTCATTTTCCAAATCCCATCAGACTCTTTATGTTCTTTGGTCTTCTTTCACTCTATCCCACATTCTATACCATCACACCAGCGAGTGCAGTTCCCACCCACTCCACATTCTTTTTTAAAAAAATCAGGGAAAACTTTGAAATCACAGGAAAACAAAGATAAAGAGCTTGCTATAGCACAATCTTGAAGAACAGACTTCATCCTATTTTGGGAGGAGGATAAGTAGGGGCGGGGTGTGTTAGTTCCCTTTGCTATGAGCTAACCTTCCCATGCCTTCCTGCCCCAGATTAGCCAAGTGCTATTTTAAACCCCTTTGCCATGATCTGTCTTTCCATGTCTTCCTCCCCTGGATTACACCTGTGCAATTTCAACTCCTTTTGTCATGAGCTATCCTTCCTTTGAATCCCACCACACTGAAAACTTTCAGTGGAATCTTCCACTTTTAGCCCTTCCTTCACAGTTAAAGTCATAAGTTTGAGCACCAATGTGTTATGAACACTTATACAATTATGTTCAAATTCAAGGAAAAATTATAAGGCTATTATAAATTGTTCATGAACCTTCATAGACACTAGAATGTTCTATTGTTGGTTTTGAAAAGGTAAACAAAGTTAAAAAAACCCTGCAGTAACACAATTTCGAAAGTCAAGGTTACTATGAAGTAGAAATGACAGGAAAAACAAAGTTGTGATATCTTGAAATTTCAGTTTTTTCTAATGATTATTTTTTTTAAAAAAATTACCATGCCAGGCTCATGAAGCAGGATTTTGGGAGAGATTAATTTTTTTGTGTCAAAAGCTGTTGTATATCCACCTTTTTAGCCTGTGATTTTGTCTGATGTTCATGTTGATGTTAATGCAGGGAATGGTGATGTTGATCTGGTTCCTGGGCCAGGGTCTGGGGATGAGGGGTCACTTGGGCCTGAAAGGAGTGGAACAACCATTGCTCCACATCACTGAACCAAAACAACACAGGTGAAACTGACAGATTCCATCGGATGAATTTTCCTGTTTCCAGGTGTATTCGGAGAACAGAAGATGATTTCTCCTTGTCTCCCTCCCCCCATTTTTCTACACTTTCATTACATTTCAGGGAAGAAACGGAATGGGTGACAACTGGAAGTAGTTTTACATCATGTGTAGGGCTCTGTGGCACTTTGTCCCTGAAATGTCTTAGAAGTGAGTGGAAACGGGGGAGGATCTGGACATGTACCAACAATACTACTAGATTATCTGCTTGATATAAGGCAGTTTTCTGTGTTTCTGTGAAAGAAATCTGAGCTATTGTTGTGAGAGAAGTACATGTCTCATTCATTTTGGAAATGGGGGGAAAAGTACTTTTAAGGGCTATCAGTTAGAATGTGAGCAATACTTTCACAGTTTCTCATTAACAATGAGAAAAACACTTTGAACACAGCAGGGCAGGAGTTGATAAACTGCTAATCTGTGTGAGAATTCTCACATCCAGCACAAACAGAAGTCAGGGAACATTTTTTAAAAAAAATTAATGCTTTCTTATTTCATGCAGAAATCACTGTGTAAGACACACACACAAACTAAACACAGAAGTATTTTCTGCATGGTTAAAATAATACAAATGCTTTGTCCAGTGCTTATAATTTGTAAAAGTCTGAGCAATGGGGATAAGCTATTATACCTCCTTATGCTCACTTGTAGTTGTATTTGATTAATATTGTAACTTGGAAAAATATTCTGAAAAGCATTCAAAAACAGAGTAATTCAGAAGATCAGAAGACATTTGGAACTACAGGCTTCAGAATTTTTCAGCAAGTATGTGAAACTTAGTCCTTGCATGGGATTTGATGCCAAGTGATACAAATAAATATAGTGCTCCTTCCATTCTTGACTTTTCACTTCAAAATTGAAGCCACAGAGACTTCTGTTTAGTTATTCAAGCTTTTTTTTTGGAGCTTTCAACTTTCCCCTTTTTCCCCTTCTCATACATGAAAAGAGTCATCATCTGATCCCAGTGTTGTGTTGGCTTTTCATCCCATTGGCAAGATTTCTTCTTCAATGTGCTGGGAAGCTGTACTACATGAAGCGAGGAGGAGGCATTTGAGATTAATGCAGTTATGCTACATAGGCAAGGGAAAACACAAGCATTTTAAAAATAGCTGCCCATCTTGGATAATAGAGTTTCCAGCTGGCAGGAACCCCTCGCCATTTGGCTGATACTGTTTTATGCATGGTCAGTGGTGAATAGTGCTGATAGTTCTTTCCGTCCATGATTTAATCATGGATGAAACTCTCAGCTTGGCTCCATGTGTCACTAGGACTAGGCTGGATGAAGCAGTCAGTATTCTGTTCCCTTTTCCTCCAGATGGGTATTAATTCAGTACACCGCAAGGATGCTCTGCAATGATACTTGCACCTGCTTTTTAAAAATGCAGTCAATTTGTTTTTAGTGATTGCTTGCATCAGCATGTAGCTTTTTCTCTTGGGGAGGGGGGAGGATAAGTTGTAGATAATAGTCTAAAGGTTACCTGTGTCCCTCCAATTTGCCACAGCAGGGAAAATGTTAAATTTGCCGCCTGAACATAACTTGAATTTCTCCTGAGTTAAAACATATGGATCAAAGATACCCTCTGCGCCATTCTGTAAAATACATCTTTTAAAAAATTATTTATTCAAATATACATACATTTGCAAGTGTTTGTTGCATACAGTGCAATACTTACCAGCTATTTGTGGTCCATAATCATTTCTCAGATAATATATTTTCTTTAAGTGGTCGCAGTCTTCTATTTAAATAATACATATAAAGATATCATAGACTCTTACTTAACATCCACTTCCTCCTTGTCTATAGTCTTATAGGACCCTCTATATACATTTGTAGTTTAATTTTACATTGAGATTTTGAATCATCAGTTGCCATTCATTAACAAAGTTGTCTAATAGTTCTCTTTAGCCGCAAAAGCACTCATATAGAGATGCAATAATGATGTATGGAGTGACCACCATCCTTGTCAGCCATATGCATTGATGGGGAAGAAGTGAAATGACTGCCAAATGGAGTTTAAAAATTGAGTACAGCCAATCATCTAGCTGAATGGTCAGGCTGCTTCCTTCCTTTCAAAACTGTTTTGCTTGATTGTGAGTAATCCACTCCTGGAACATTGTTCAAAGCTTTTCCTCTATTTTCATATACATTGAGTAAAGAATGGGAAAATGAAAGACATGTTTACTAGGTGCATGGGGAAGGGGGCAGAGAAACACCCTTCTATCATTAATCAGAATAAAGAAAGCTTGTATCAGATGGCAGGTTTTGAAGCATGGATGGCTTATAGACTAAAGAGTGAGGAGATGGAGGCTCCATCTGAAAGCCATCTCAGTTTTGAAGTGACAGTTAACAACAGCAACCTATTTTTTATTTTTAAAGTGTTATTTATCATGAAAGTGTTTTTCAGTTCTTTCCGTTTCTGAAATTAAAATTATTTTAACCATCAGTGACTGGTGGCTTTCATGACAGTGGAGTGGAGAATTCACTCCAGACCCTGCCCTGAACTTTAAAAGACTTATCCAAGATGCCAAATTCATTTCTCACTATGGACGGTGGGATGCGGAATAGGCGGCCTTTCCGAGGAGGAGGAGAAGGGGAAGGTGGGATGGCGCTGCAGCTGCTGGGCTGGCTGTCCTTCTTGCCCTCAGGCCCAGCCGCCGGTGGGCAGTTGTGGGCTGTTTCCCCCCTGGCTGCGGTGGCAGTGAGGTTTGCATCCAAAAAGAGTGGAAGCAGCTCCAAAAACCATGGTGGGAGAAGTCTTGGGAAATGCTATGGCTTCAAAAAAATGGATGGACAGTTTGTTCATGCGGGCAACATACTAGCAACACAGCGAGTGATTCGTTGGCACCCAGGGGCTCATGTGGGGATGGGCCGCAACAAGTGGCTGTATGCACTTGGGATTGTGCTATACACCAAGGAAGTGTATGTGCCACGTCCCCATCACGAGGAAAGTAAAGACGTCATCTGCCAGTTGCCCAGAGGAGCAGTGCTTTATATAACATTCATCAATGTAGGCCCCACGGTTGAGGTGGGGAGCTTTAAGTTGGTCAACATGCTGTAAGACTGCCCAGAAGATATCAGCCAAGAACTTGCTCAGGGGGATCTGACCCCCAGCAACCATCAGTTCTGTCCTTCCGAGTGACTTGGTTCAATTACTTACTGTTCCCTGAGCCATAGCTGAGGAAGACTGGGCATCTTTACCATACTGTCAAGAGCAATTTCTGTATTGTAAAGGATGTATATTTATATATCTGACTATGGACAGTTCTTTTCAAAACTGGACTGAAATTAAGAGTAATTCTGACATGGAAGTCACAAACAAGTACTGGTTTGTGACTGCCAAAGAAGGAAGGAAAGTAGGTATATTTGGAAAAGTGTTATTCAATAAATTGCTTGTATAGTATATTAGTTACTTTGTTTACATAGCTAAATATCATCTTCTGGCCCAAATTCACCCTCTTCCCCCATCCCCAAGATTGATAGACTATTCTCCAGTTGAGTGGGGCACAACAGAGTGGTGTTTTCATCTCTTTGCATCACAAATCTCAGAAGAAGAATTCCTCCTTGCACCAGAGATTGATGGTTTGGGAGGGGGGGTTAGAACATCAACCTTGTGCATCCTGATTAACAAGAGATTGGGGGGGGGGGTTAGAAATTGAAACACCAATAATTTTTGATAAGGTTCCATAACATTCAGATGCCTCCAAATGTCAGTTTAATTTTCAGTATAAGGATTAAGCAGCTTTTGTAAAGCCAAGAGAACATAAAGTGCTTTAACAACCAATCATTTTTTTCTTTGGCCCACTCACCATACAGAAGGCCCTGGGGGCAGGACTAAAGTCAATAGGTGAAAGACAGCCATCTTAATGTAGTTTGGGAAGGCGGGGCCCTCTGTGGCAGAGAGTGCAAAAGGCCCTGCCCTAAACTACATTTCCCAGAATGCAATGCTCAGCATCTGAAAGCCCCAGTGAGGGCTGCAGCAGCCAGCCATTTAGAGTCATTCTAATAATCATAATAAATAAAATTATTGAATCTGCAAAAATGACTAAAGTAAGTAAGTAATAGTATAAATCTGTTCTAAGTTGAAGTCACATGGTTGTGTCATAAAGAAAGACAGATATTCAAGGTAATTGCTGTTGTCACATTTTTGGGAGCCCCTGAAGTTTCCTCTATAATAATTTATGCACAATTACTATAACAAAATAGTAATGAAATTTCATTACTCTTGTTATAGTAATGAATTTTTCACAAACTATATGTTAGAAACACTTTGGAAATGAAGTGCCAGTGCCCCCTCCCCTAGTTTGAACTATTTTTATGAATCACACATCCCTAATAAATATATAATGTGACATGCACATTTTAAAAATGAAAATCAGAATGTATGCGGTGGTCAGCTGGTGACAATGGAGATGGGAAAATCCATTAATAGAGAAGAGTGGGGAGGGCATAGAGTTAACTAGAGAGATCATGAGCACAGAAAGGTGAGGAAACTTTCACTCCAAGCTATATGAAATATATAAAATTTTCATTTCGTTCTGCACATGAATGTAGCAAAAAAGCTATAAAAATCTCAAGTACAATTATAACTTTTATAGGTAAGTCAATATTTTCGTATAAAAAATTATCAATCACAAGAAAATTAATGCCAGGTGACAGAATATTCATGCATATTCTTACCAAGTATACACAATGAAGTTGGACATTTAAGTCACTCTGAACTTGATGCAGATTACTCAAATCAGTTGTGTCTCAAATGTTACTACTACCGACATGATAGTTGTTCTATTTCATCATTTAACTTTATATTAAAAAAACATCACGAGGAGGAGGGCATTAGGATTCCAGAGATGTTTAGGTAGGACATGGACCAAAAAAGGATGGGAAACACTAGATTAGACCCTGTCACCTCATAATAGCTGCTGCCATGTAAGTCAGGATTGTGAACATTCAGGATCCCTATGTATTTCCTAGCCTATTGAATACATAATCTGTTACTCTCGGTTATAGATTCATAATTATGATTGTGAATTCTAAACATCCTTTCTGCATAGAAATATTATTTATTACGTAGAAGATGCTTTCTGTGTAAAACAAAAATGTGATTTTTGAACTACAAAGTTTCTTGTCAGGGCAGGATTTTCCTCATCAGCATTTCTAATAGCCAAGACAAGTTTTTAAAAACTATTTTTCAAATATTTTGAAAATTCTTTCAACTTCTTCTAAGCATAGAATATGATTTCAACACATAAATTCTACATAGCCTATACAAATTATCCCAGCAGAATAGTAAAACAGAACAAATAAGTTTATTATTATATGCTGTTCGGAGTTAAAGATAATCTTTAACATGGCCACCTGCACATAGGCAAAACAGAGAACATTTCTCAGCACAAAAAACATACACAATTTTGTATAAATGTAGTGTAGGTAGACAAATGCAAGTTTAGAACAAATTACAATAATTCACAAAAAATACAATATACTACATGTGCCCATATTAGGGAAAAGTGTAACTAGGTGATTTATGATTGTCCTCAGTGGCTACCCAAATATTAATTGCTGCTGTCTTTCTTATGCTCATTTATATGTTTCTTTTTATTCAAACCAGATTTAGATTGGGAAATCCTTATAAAGAGGACAACTTCAAAGTTTTTGCAACATTTCAAATGGAGGACTTTGTTACGTAATATAGGATATAGGGCCACAATGAACCTGTTTTAACTGTCTTCAAGTCAACATCAACATATGACAACTCCATGAATGAGAGACGTCCAAGTCCTATCATCAACAACCCCTCTCAGCTTTTCTAGACTTCCTTGATTGAGTCTCTTCATTCAGACTGTGAGCTTACTCTTTATATATTACTTTTTACCTTGCTAATCATTATTGTCTTCTCTAGTGAATCATGTCTTCCCTTGATGCAGCCAAAGTATGACAATCTCAGTTGAGTCATTTTGATTTCTAGGGAGAGTTCAGGCTTGAGTTGATCCTTTTCTTCCTAACAGCTTTGTCATTGTCCAGCTTTCACTACCATACATAAAAATAGGCGAAAAATAATCTCTCATTGCACTCACACATGCACAATGTCCCAGCTTCATTATTATTCTTACAAACCATTATCAATGCTACATTTAAAAAAGAATATGATGACTTTTCTTGAGGGCAAGTAAGCATGATGCTTATCTTCTTACATATTATTCTATCATATATATTCTAATGTCTGGCATGTGACCAGCTCTTGTGAAGTGGACTGCATGATGATGACTTTCTGATGATATGTTAATGGACATTAAATGGAAATGAAAAGGATATGTGGGTGGCCCATTAAGACTGGTGGCTAACAACCAAGACATACCTACCAGTGAGGTAGGTAATATCTGTGTTCTGCAGTATGTGAGGGGGAGGCAGTAAAGAACATTTTAGACATAGAATATAGGCATATCAGAATGATTTTAGTAGTTGCATAGAATGGCATTGTGTAACATCGCTCTTTTGCTGTACCAGTATAGTATGTCCTATTACATTTTCTGACACAGAAACTTAAATTTTGTCCTTTAGTAAAAAAAAATGTCCCTGGGAATGCCATTTCCCCTCACTTAAATATTCAGTTGAAAAAACAAACAAAAACTCTTTCATTTTGATATGTTGTGTTTTAGGCTTCCATGTTCACAGTCCAAAATTCTAAAGGAATCACAGGTGTAAGGCCAGTGGCTTTACTATAGGAATTGATATACAATGTGGATATAATTTAGCATTCTATACAGTAGTTTGCTCTGGCTTTAGTATGGCTTTGGAGTTACATATATGTAGAAAGAAAAGTGGTGGATCAAAGTGCCAGCTTTGTCTCTTTACTAGCATAAACACATGGATTGTATACAATTGCAACTCTCATACAGCAGGCACTGCAATTCCTTGTAACAAGTGCCCAACTAACAAATTATGCCATCCATATAGTGGCGTTAGAAGGGACACAGAAACTAATTTAGATATAAAAGCATTTTAAAGTCTTTTTTCCTTTTAACCAATTAATTTAACAGAGTGGTGGTTAATGTTCTGCTAGTGCCAGCATCTATTTATATCCCATCCTTTACCTATGTCTGAGACTTAAAGTGAATTGCAAAAATTACAAAATTTAAAAGCTGTATAGACCAAAGCTCTCATTAATAAAAACCTATTTCTGAAAACATAAAAATCATGTCTAAAAACAAATTAATTAAATTTTCTCTCTCTCTCTCTCTCTCTTACACACCCACATACCACCACCACCACTATGTTTATGGATAGTCTTTATAATGAGTTTCAGTTTTTCTGAATAATATTCTGCAGAGGCACATAAACCTATCAATGTCCCTTTGTGCAAAAAATGTACTGCATGTAGATTTAAAAAACAGGTTTTGGGGCAGACAACAATATTTCATAACAAAAAACAATATTTTACACTGATTTTTGCACAGATAAAGCTGTGCAAAGAAACTTGTTCTCCATGCAGGGATTTATTTGTTTTTGCACATAACTCAATTTTTATATAGTATTGTAGTTTGGCCTGTGAATATGTCTGATGTCAATGGGGATGATGGTTTTCCTGGACCTGAGTTGTCATGTCCTGGCCTTGTTGATAGGCCTGGTTCTGGCACTGCTGAGAGGCCTGAGGTTTCTCAGGAACAGAGTGCTTCTCCTGTAGATTCTCTAGGTCACATTCCTGAAAGGGGCCCACAGCACCAGTAGCTTTTCTCTGAGAATCTGTGTTCTAAGGATGATTTGTCAGGTGTGGAAGTTAATGAGACTGAAGATAGAAGACAAGACTTTTGTAAACTAAGACAAAGTTCCCAGGATCACAGTTCAGCCCATCTTTTTTTAAAAGAGAGAGAGAGAGAGATGAAATCTTTATCTAGTTGCAAAGGCAAACAGAATGTTTTTCTTTCATTTCATGAGACAAGAAAGGCTTTATATGAGATGGGAAAAGATTTTAGCTCAGTCTGGTCAATGCTGAATTTTCATGATGGTCTTGTTTCCAAGTGGATTTCTAGCTTCGTGTTTCAAGGTTTGCCAGATCCCTATTCTGAATATTGGAGCTCCATGCTGTCTTGTTCTTTTGGATTTTGCATCCTTGGATCTTTCTACCTTGAAGTTCATGGACTATTTGTTACCTTTGGAATACAGTGTTTTGTACTATATTGTTTCTATCATTTTATTGCTTTGCTTACATATATCCTTCAATAAACTGCTTGCTGATTATACTATAATGGTGT